CTGCCCGAACTCGCTGTCGCGTTCGTTCGTCGTCGTCCTGAGCTCTGTCATCGAGACACATCTGCCCGAGCTCCACCGACGAGATCCGTCTGCCCGAGCTCGACTCTTCATTGTCCCGAAGCTTTTCCGTCGAGATCTGATTCCCAAGCACGTCCAATTGTCGTCATCCTGAGCTTCGCAGTGGAGAAACGTTCGCCTGAGCTCGTTCGTCGTCGTCCCGAGCTGTGCCGTCGAGATCCATCCGCCTGAGCTCGTTCGGCATCGTCCCGAGGCTTTGCCGTCGAGATCTGTCGTCCGGAACATGTCCGTCGTCATCCCGACTCCCGAGCACATATGTTTGTCGTCGTCCCATGCTCGTTCACTTCGCCCAATCGAGCTGCTCGTCGAGCCGACGAGCTGAGTTTGAGCCCTGTTCGAGCTCGAGCTAGATAAGCTATCGAGCTCGAAACTGTGTTCGAGCTCGACTCGCGAGCTCGATAAGCTCGGCTCGTCGAGCCTGTTATCGAGTCGAGCTCGAGCCGGCTCCTGAAACAAAAATCAACCATACAAACAGATAAAAATGAGGGATGCAATATTCATTATAGACACTATAGTTTTTACATCAAAAATTTTGAAAAGTAAAAAAAATCACAAAACTTGACCCGTTAAAATAAATCCACTAGTATTTATAATTGATTACAAATGTTCAACATCAATCCCGGTCTCCACTGACTTTTTAGCTACTTTTGTAAAGATAATGGTTCAAAATGTGCCTCTTCTTTATAGGTTTTTCATACTTTGTATATAGTTCTCATTCTATGTTATTTGTTTCGTTAGCGCATTTCAACGGCCAAATAGGTGCTCGAATTTTCTCAAATTATCATCGTTAATAAGCTATTTTTTTATCTAATCCTGGAGCTGTTAGGCCCATTAAGATTAGCATTGCGAATGGCAAACATTTCGGCATCTGAGGCTATATTCAAATGGTTTTGATGGATTCAATTCAAGCCGTCCAAACCGAATCACACGATTGCGAAGAAAAGTAAACGGATACAGTAGAAGTTAATTTAGGCTGCAAAATTCTGCTGTTTTTTTCTTTAACAAAAGATTTACAAACCAAATAAATCAGAAAGGGAAAGTAAACGGCGCAGCCCCTTCCTCCTACAGATCTATGTACCAAACAACTAAAATTATAACATAAAAAAGACTATAAAACAGTTATCTAATTAAGCCCAACAAGGAAGACTTGTTCATATATAATTAATTTCCATGGCTGTCTAATTAGATCAATCCATTGAGCTCGAAGCCTGGTTAGGAAACTCATTGTGGTAGACCTTCTTCCCCAACAAACCAAAGAGATTTCTGTTTTTCTTACCATATTCTTCATTGATCTTGCTATCTTGGCTTCCTTCCAAGTCTTCCTTCATTCTCTTCATCTTCTCCTCGTGGAGCTTCTTCTCCACGTAGGCTTGGACCAACCCGGGCGCTACAATGGAGGCCATCACTTGAACAATACTAAAAGAAATTTGAGCAAACTTTTATTCTTCTCTTTGTCCTGTGAAGAGGGGTGGTGGGGGTATTTATACAGCTGGGAAGCTTGGAGGCCAAGCCAAAGGAATATAAAGGTCATTCGTGACGGTGATGCCATATCAATCCTCAAATTCTTGCCATGACCCACCACGCTTAGGGTGGTTGATGGGCGAGCATGACTGAGACCTCATTTCAGGATCGAATCCCCTCTACTACGGTCTACACTTGTTTTGTGGGCCTAATGCTGATGGGTGGTCTCGTTAGATTCCGCTGAGGGATTAATTACGCTGTCAGGCACTCTCTTTAGAATGACAACGAATATATATTCCCGTTTAAAAAAAAAAAAAAAATTTCTTGCCATGAAGTCAGGGTCAGCATTAATATTGGTTACTAATTTTGTCAACCCTACATTTACGAGATAAGGAGATCGTTCTTACCTAATACTTTGAACCGTCCTATTAGCGATCGTCAAAGTCTTGCTGTACCAAACACAAAATTTTAGACTATATATCTTGGAATACGACCAGCTTCCCTAAAAAAGTTGTTGACTGAGTGATCGCTAATTAATTCATTATTTATTGGTGAGCACTTCAACTAGATTTAAATGAGCTTGCCCCATTTTTTGATGGCTTCAAATACATTCCCACACAGGATTAATTATTTTGTGCGGATTTTGAATGTCGTCTGAAAACCAATCAGAATGCACCATATCACCCCTTAGCTCGGAACTGTGGCTCAGTGCTCGGTATCGCAGCTCAGTACCATTGACATGATGCACTCTGATTGGTGTCCGGAAAACATCTTGCATCCGGTCTCCACACAGAATAATTTCTCCCCACACAGGGTTCAAATTCATAATGCATAGTTAAAAATAAATTGGAGAATCCTAATGGATAAAATTCGAGAGCTAATTTAGCCTACAAAAATATTTTGTGTTTTGTGATACTTTATTCGTCTCTGCCTACACGAGCTTTGTTTCATCTAGCCGAGCTTTGTTTTCTTTGCTTCCTCCGAGCATCTTCTCTTTAATGCAGCTCCATATTTAGACTTTAGATTTGTTCCGGATATATACAGTAGGTTTTACCTTTTAGTTAGTATTTCTTATCATAAATGAAAATTTGATAAAGCCTTAATTTTTCCATAAATACACATACCTATTGTTGCGGGCTAGAATATAAGCGGCGATAAGGTTAGAAAATTTTTCGTCTTAGTCTTGTATGGATATCTAGCACACAAACAGAATAAAAAATGAACACCATAATTTTTACGTGAAAACCCTGGAAAAGTAAAAAACTACGGGGTCACGCCCAGTTGAAAGGATGCCACTAGTGTTTGCTTAGATTATAAGTGGCTGACTCGTCCTTGAAATTGAGTACGATCATATGACAATAATTAGCTCCTGGGTTGAAATTCAATTACAAACAGAGATAAAAAATTCGGCGACGTTCTAGTGGTCCGGTGAAAATTCTGCTTCAATTGACGGTCGAGCATAACTCCGGCATCATTCAGCTGTTGGGCAGAACTCCAGCACCAGTCGGCAGTCGGGCTTAATTTCTGTGTTAGTTAGCAGTTTGGTGGAAGTTCGACGGTGGTCGAGGAGGAGTCGCTTCCTTTTCTTCATTCTCTTCTTGAATCCTTGCATAATTCCTACGTCAGTCGGCTGCTATGTAAAAAGTATGGCAGTGGTTGTGGAGGAGTCTCTTCCTTCTCTTCCTTTATTCTCTTCTTGCTTGGGCTTCCCCCTCATGAGAAATGAGGGATCTATTTATAATTTTCCACAAGGTTGTGAAAATCAGACCAGACAACGAACCAGATGAACAAGAGGTTCACTGTTCGACCAGTTCGACCGGTCCAACTGGGGTTGAACCGGATGATGTAATAAATAATAATATTATTAAAATTTTAATAAATTAGCTTTACCTCTGTGTCCATTTAATATCCTATGATTCCTATGCCACTATTTTGACATTTATTAAGCATATGTAACAACTCAAAACAAATTAATAATACTACAACAAAATCAATAAAATATAAACTAATAATTAAATAACATATAACACAAACGAATGCATACCTCAGTTTGACGATGAGTACCAGCAATTCATAGTTGAAACCCCAGTTCTATTTAACATCCATAATAGCCACAATGTTCTCTGCCGCAGTTGCAAGATATCGACCCAGATGTGGTTAAAATCTAATTAGTGTATTAACACCTTGCAAAAAATATCCAAATAAAACTTTAGGCATTTATGCTCTGCATCAAAGCCCTATAATGAATATGAAAGTCGAAAGAGCATGATCATAGAGGCAAGTAAATGTGTAATCTAACATGATTCATGTGAAAGCGTAAAGACAATAATGACTTCAAAAGAAAGAAAAAATAACCTTCATTCATTTATGCTCTGCATCAAACCTTATATTGAGAATGAAAATGGAAACAGCGTGATCCGCCTTCGTCACATTTTAATTTTTTTTTTGTCTGATCTAACAATATATTCAGCAGAAAATCAAAGATTTTAGGATTAAAAAAACTTAAATCCACGATTAATACGAGGAGAAAAAGCAAGGATGACGCCTCAGACGATCAGGATGATGTCGTTGTCGAGTTCACGAACGGCTTGGAGGATTATGTCGGAGACAAACTGTCGGAGATGAATTGGACACAAGGAGCAAGCGAAATGAATTACAGTATGGAGGGAATCAAAAGTTCTTAGGTTTTTTTCATTTTCTGTGTTTTCTCATTAGCCGCTGGATCTAAATGAACGGCTCACATCGCCTTTTTTTAACCGGACATTTCTTTAAAATTGGCGCCGGTTCCCGATTTGATCGACCGGTTGGATGATTTTTGTCTGGTTCGATTCGAAGCCGGTTATAAGTGATCACAGAACCGGCCGGCCAGCCGGTTCACAGTTGAACCGGTTGAATCGGCCGGTCCGGTCCGATTTTTAAAACCATGGTTTTCTATGAGTGGCATGACCAGTAAATATGAGAAAGATCAAGAGTAAATTGGGATTGGACTAGTGGTTAAAATAGAAGTAGATTTAAAAATTAATATTAAATTAACATTTATAATATATTTTAGTCTTTAAAAATTATTTCTATTAATTTATTTGTATATTAAAAGTAAACTTTCTTTAAAAATTAAAAAAAAATTAAAACTAAAAATCAAGCTCAACAATTAAGTTTTTTTTTTTCACATTCAAGCTTTTCAGATGAGTTGAGTGTAATTTTTTTTTTAACGAGCCAAGCTGAAACTAGTAAATGAGCTTGAGTTGAGCACGAATTCGAGCTTACTAAGAGTTAACAAGCTCAGCTTATTCGATATGACTTGACTCGTTTACGCCCCTAATAGAGGTTGGATAGACATAGAGTTCCAACCCTCACCATTAATGATCAAAGAAAGCTTGCTTTGAGAGTCTAGAGGAAGAGAATTGAAGGCTTGAATACCATAACTTCATAAAGAGATTTGTCATTAATCCAGAGATCCCAAGTAAGAGAGAAGGTTGAGCCATCTCCAATGACAGAGAAGGGAACCGGTTCAAAAGAAAGGCAATATTGCATATGCAAAAATGTAATTACATAATTAACCAAACCAAATAAAATATTTCAAACGGCGACTGTAAATAGGTTAATGGCAGAATCAAGCTCTCCCAGTTCTAACATACTATGGCAGCAAAAACCGCTTCCCGCCCCCAACAGCTTGTAATCGACTTGTTTGCGTAGAAATACTTAGTCAAAATTGCTTTCACCACCTCTCCTTCATGGCTTCTCCACCCGACTCCCTCTAGTTTTCTACCTCTAACCTTCTATTCAATGAATCCCACTGAACATTGGGCTTCTCTTCTCCGGCGATGCCTCGAGGCCGAGAATCGAATCGCCGGCAAATCCATCCATGCCTACTTAACCAAAGCCGGCCTTCTCCACCTTGGCCTCTACCTCACCAACAACCTCATCAACTTTTACTCAAAAGTGCGTCTCTTCGCCGACGCATGTAAGGTGTTCGACGAGATGCCTCTAAAGAATATCTTTTCCTGGAACTCCATCCTCTCCATGTACGCCAAAAGCGGCCAGATCAGCACCGCAAGGATATACTTTGATCAAATGCCTGAAAAAGATTCAGTCTCGTGGACTGCCATGATTGTCGGCTGCAACCAGGCGGGTCGATTCAAGAAAGCTCTGCAAATGCTCTTGGCGATGGTTCGTGCTGGATCCCCGCCGAGCCAATTCACATTCACAAATATTCTCTCCTCTTGTGCAGCAATTGAGGATCACATCATTGGGAGGATGGTGCATTCTTTTATCGTTAAGTTAGGTATGAGTAGTTGCATTCCTGTTGCAAATTCCCTTCTCAATATGTATGGAAAATGTGGCGATGCATTGATGGCAAAGGTGGTTTTTGATAGGATGAGAGTGAGGAGCGTATCGAGCTGGAATACGTTGATCTCATTGTACTCGCAATCAGGGCGGATGGACATTGCTCGATCCCACTTTGAAGAGATGAGCGAGCGAAGCATTGTGTCCTGGAACGCGATAATTGCAGGCTACAATCAGAATGGGTTGGATCTTGAAGCTCTTATCTTCTTCTCTAGAATGCTGAAAGAAACACGAATGGCCCCAGATGACTTCACAATCACAAGTGTTCTATCTGCTTGTGCTAATCTTGAGATGTTGAAGATTGGTAGGCAAATCCATGCCTACCTCATTAGAACTAAGATGGAGTTTGTTGGGCAGGTTGCCAATGCTTTGATTTCAATGTACTCTAAATCAGGAGGAGTTGAAAATGCTCATAGGCTTGTAGAGAAAACTGTTGTGTCTGATCTAAATGTGATATCATTCACAGCTCTCCTTGAAGGTTATGTCAAGCTTGGAGACCTGCAACCAGCTAGAGAAATTTTCAATTCTATGAAGCACCGGGATGTCGTGGCATGGACGGCGATTATCGTTGGGTATGTGCGGAACAGTTTCTACAAAGATGCTATGGAACTTTTCAGTTTGATGGTCAGTGAAGGTCCTGAGCCAAATAATTACACTCTTTCTGCCATTTTGAGTGTTTGTTCAAGTTTGGCATCATTGGAGCATGGCAGACAGATCCATTCCAAGGCAGTCAGGTCGAAAGAAGGGCTTTCAGTCTCTGTAAGTAATGCGCTAATAACAATGTATGCAAAGTCTGGATGTATTGAACTAGCAAGAAGGGTTTTCAGCCAAATAATCTCGACTAGGGAACCAGTCTCATGGACCTCCATGATCATTGCTCTAGCACAGCATGGCTTGGGAGAAGAAGCTGTAAGCTTATTTGACAAAATGCTTTTCCATGGTGTTGTGCCTGATCATATCACATATGTTGGGGTAATATCTGCTTGTACTCACTCAGGATTGGTAGAGAAAGGAAAGGAATATTTTTCAATAATGCAGAATATTCATAAAATCAAGCCAACACCTAGCCACTATGCCTGCATGATTGATCTTTTTGCTCGCTGCGGAAAACTGGAGGAAGCGCAAAATTTTATAAAATCGATGCCAGTGGAACCAGATGCCGTCGCTTGGGGGTCGCTACTTTCTGCTTGCAGGGTTCACAAAGATGCCAATTTGGCAAGGATTGCCGCGGAGAGACTGCTCTCAATTGATCCTGAGAACAGTGGAGCTTATTCTGCGCTCGCAAACGTATACTCTTCATGTGGTAGATGGCAAGAAGCTGCATCGATATGGAGGTTGATGAGAGATAACGGGATAAAGAAAGAGAAAGGATACAGTTGGATTCACATCAAGAACAAAGTTCATGTGTTTGGAGTAGAAGATGGATTGCACCCAATGAGGGAAGCCATATATGAGATGGCAAGAAAGATGTGGCTAGAGATAAAAAAGGCTGGATTTGTACCTGATACCGAGTCAGTATTGCATGATGTGGATGATGAGCTCAAGGAAAAGATGCTTAGTCTTCACAGTGAGAAGCTTGCTATTGCATTTGGACTAATGAGCACTCCAGAAAATACAATGTTGAGGATAATGAAGAACTTGAGGGTATGCAATGATTGCCACAATGCGATAAAGTTTATCTCAAAATTAACTGGAAGGGAGATAGTGGTGAGAGATGCAACAAGGTTTCATCATTTTAGGGATGGGTTCTGCTCTTGCAAAGATTATTGGTAGGTTTGATTTATGTAAATTATCATTCATGGATTTACAGTAGCTGACTAGTTAAAACAAATTCATATAAAATGCAATTTGACTTGTATTTTGAATTTTATCACTCGAATATTGTGTGTTTTACAGAGCTAGAGATAGGTCACCGCAATCTAATAAATTTCTAAGAAATGAACATGAAAATTCTGAACAAATGGTAAGCATGAACAGCTTATAGAACAGTGTCAAGAAACTACTTCAAATTTTCATACATTACAATTCATATATGAGCGATGAAATCCCGAGTCCAATTCATCATGTTCAGTATTATATGGAATTCTTGAATTGGACAGCTTTTCACGAACTTTTGTGATTAAGGCTTCGTTTGGGATGGTTTTCTTACTACTTTTTAAAATAACTTTCTAGCATAAAAAATTTAATTTTTGTACTAAAAAGTTGCTTTAAAAAGCACTAAGAAAGTAATCCCAAATAAGACCTTAAACACAAATAAATTTGGAATATTTTAATGCTGTTGGACTGCATAGCAATGCTATCATTCAAGACAACCACTCCAAAATGTGATTTAAAAAAAAAAAATCTCATCAAGTAAAAAAGGTAGTCAACCATTCAGGAAAAAGGAGAAATTATGATTATTGACAAAGAAAAGATGATATTTCGTATTTTCTCTTTTCAAGTCTTAAAAATCCAAAATTTCAAAAAAACAATAAAAAATAACAAAATGAGCGCAAAGGTGAAACTAAATGATATATAAAAATGACAAAATTAATCCATCTTTTATTGTATGCCAAAATTCGTATAGAATCGATCCTTCCGCTTCTTTCCCAATAGTAGACAAGTACTGATAATCTCCCTAGAAATTCAAACCCCAGTCATATGGCTGATAGATAACCTTCAGCTGAGTGCTTGCAAGCAACTCCAGCAGCTCCTCCGATTTGTTTGGCTCCAAGTAGTTTGCCGCATGTTTCAGCACCTCAACCTCATTTTTCCCAAAATCCACACTATACCTATAGCAACACAGATAATTCAATATTAACAGAACTGTACTACCGATCCCGATTTTCTAAGAACAATGCATACACAGGGTCATCTCATGCTAAGTAATGAAGGATAGTAAGGATTTCCATCTAAGTAGATATTATGATTGCTTGTATATATGTTCATTTTGTGAGACAAAACCAACAATTTTAAATAATTTTGAAGTTTTAAACTTATGATTTGTCATTTCATCCAGTCAGGGGCGGAACCAACCATAATTTTTAGGAGGGGCAAACTTATAAGTAACTGTTGATAGATATGTCGGGGGTCCAAGGGGACAGCGTCCCCTGACGGGGTTCGACCTGCCCGGTAAACCTATTAAATTAGATTGAGGGGACAAATTACCTAAATAATCGTATAATGAAAAAAAAAAAAAAATTGATCACAGGGGTTCCGCCCCTGCATCTAGTAAACCTTTTAAATATAATAAATTTCATTAATATAGAATTTGGATCTACAAGCAATCAGAAGGGGACCTAAGACATGATTTGAGAGTTTCTTACCACCGCAGAATCTTGCTTACTGAGATAACCTTGGCTTCAGCATCTAGAACAACCCCTCCATTCCTCAGAAAAATGCGTGCAGCTTCAACCAATTCTTTGTCTATGTCGTTGGGTGAGTAACACCTCAGAGCAGGCCCAGAACGGGTGCCAGATACTAGGGCAAAGTGTACCAGCGGTTCTGGGTATGGAAGAGCCACCTGATTCACAAGAAAAAAGTAATGTGTTGATTTGAAGTATTCATTCATCATGAGATTTCTTCTTCTTACACTTAAAGAGACTTTTGTCGTACAATAACAGCACAAAAAATTTAGTTCTGGTAATGATTGGTGAGACGACTTGAATCGATAATAGATGAAAAGGTATACTGTGGAACGTAAGTATGGTTTCTTAATCTTCCACAAAAGCATTATAAAGCATACGCATCAATGTAATCAGGGATATTTTAACATTACTGAGTTGATGAGCCATCTAATTACTTTGGTTGGAGAAAGAGTTAACCAATGAAGCACGGGAAAATACACAGCACGATAGGGACATTAAGACAACAAAATCATAAAAAAGAAGACATGATATGGCATAGCATGGACACAATGATTTTTTTTTATAAATTATTAATATAAAATGTGTATTCAAACCACCTAAAATCAATATTTTTCAAATTAAAAAGAATCACACAACATTTCAACAGCACATAACAAAGTTTAAAGATCAACAAAATGAAAAATATCACTGTTTTAGTTACACTCGTATTTCAATATTTTATTAACATTATTAACAACACCAACATTACAATGTGGACTCCAAAAATTTGCAGGCCCCACAAATTTTTTAACTGCATTTTGCTTGAATATATAATTTAAGGTCTCTTAATATGATAATGGAGAAAAATGATTTATGTAGCCGACCTCACATAGTGGTAAAAGAGCATGTTATTGCTGTTGTTATACATCATTTAAGGTCTTGTTCGCTATTAATTTGCTCAGTTTGAATTTTAGCAACTCTCCGGTGTCTTCCTCATGTAGGGAAAGTTATTGGGAATGTCAAGCCTTCCCATGATGCCAAAAAAGTATGCATTGTCAGCGTCGTAAGAAACAACAATCGTGGGTCTTCTCTCCCACCACTCCAATAAGTGCATGGGTCTTTGTATACATGCTTAGAACTTGCAATGCTCAATCTAAATTTTGACACCACAAACTCCTCATGTAGGGTGCATCATCGGGAATGCTAGACCTTCCCACCGCGCCTATAATGCATGGTTAATGTCGTCAGACACTATGGCTAAGGGTCTTCTATCCCACTACGTCAAGAAAGACATGTATAGGACGATAGGTCTTTATATACATGTTTTGAAATATACAATGTTACCCTACTGTGTCAAGAAAACATGTGAAAAAAACGCGTTCATGTCTTACCAATTTCTTGGCAAACGCCACTTATGAGTTTGCCCTGTTGTGCTAAGAAAAGTACATACAAGCTCCAAGTTTTGCTGGGTAAGCGAAAACACAAAAATTTACCGTCTTTTTTATAACTTCTACTTTTTTTTTTAATATTTACCCTTTTTCCCTCTCTTTTTTTAATTATCTATTATCTCTTTCTAGAGAGAGAAAAGTAGAGGAGAGAGAGAAAATGAGGAGCATCAAAACAGAGTAAGGAAAAATCTTCTGTATTTTTAGAGAGAAGAGTTAGATAGTGAGAAAGAGAAAGGAAAGAGAGATGAAGTGGAGAGAAAAAAAATCAGTGAGCTGGAGATGAGGAAGGCGAGATAATGGGTATAGAGTGTGTGCCATGACCTGGTCCGGAGGCTTAATTTAATGTGACAAGAGCAGACGGTCAAATGATTTTAAATATTCATTTACTAACTAATTATTTCCAATACATTGAAAGAACCACTAAAACCTCAAATGCATTAAAAAGATAACTATTTTTACAATTACCTTTCTCCGAATGTCGCACTTACGATACGCATTCTCTTATCTTTCACTCATTTAGATTATTTGAATAATACCCCTGAATGTTTTGCAATTATAAAGTGAGTCACAACTCAGTGAGTATGTCGTGCTTCTAAATTACAGTAACACAAAGCCTTTAGAACAATATGCATGCTTATTGTAACTATAATACAATTTTATTTAATAACATTTAAATTTGAAAATGACTATAAATCATATCATATACATGTATATAATAACTATATCATGTCAAAACCTTTTCTGTAATTAATACAACCGTCATAGGAGACAGTCTAAAATATTACCAATGAAGTTACTTCTTTTACCATTTTTTTTTCATAATATTTTTCATTTACGCGCGTATATATATTATGTTCCCAACCAATACTATAAAAGGATTATGCTCCATTATTTACATGCACATTCAAGTATTTCTACTTAATAACTTTACTTGCATTCTCTATATCATATAATATTCTTATGTATAATAAATAATACATGATAAGTTTATATCATTAATTCAATATGACCAACTGCAGTTAACAAAAAATAACACATAAATAGTTTTTAATAACGACAAATACTTAAATGCACTTAGAAGAAGCTATATTATTACCATAAATTAGGAACATAAGTAATCAGCTTGAGTTTAGCTGATTAACCTTTGCCCTATTTGTCCTTACTCTGACACCTCCATTTGGGCACCTATAATTATGTCTAATTTTTGTAAGATTATTCTAACAATATCACACTCTAATTAACAATTAGTTGCTCCTAAAGAACTATTTTTATCTTATAAAATCCTCATTTAATCTATCTCCCTCTTTCTCTCTCTCTAATTAGCTATTGAATGTACCTAAAGAGTAATTTATTTAATTTAATTTTAAAAGAATTTATTTTATTGCTTAAATTAAATTAATCATTCAAGCTTCAACTACTATGATTAGCTTTAGAGGTTTGTTTTTGGCCTTCAATATCATCATCATTGAATATTACTGCTTTCAACTCTGGTTCAACAAGAGAAAGATTTGTAATTGTGCAAAAAGAGAGGAGATGAAAATACCTTCACTGCCAAAGAGAAATGAAAATGAGAATATTCGATGAATTGTATTAAATGCAGACGTTGATTTGGTGTTGTGGATAGAATAAGAAATTTAGTTTAAATCTCGCCAAATATAAGAAATTATATTTTTAAAAAATTATAAAATATTTAAAACACGCGTGTCCAATTTATTTTTAATATTTTTTTAATCGGACACGTTTTCGGCGTGTCCGACACATGTCGGAGTGTCGGACACGATGTTGGACACTGCACGCCTCTTTGAGGAGAAGTGTCGGTGCATCATAGTACTTAGGTGAGTCCAAAATTTTATATATTCTATTTTTTATTCATCTTCTCATCTAGCTCTTGGTTTACACATTCTCCAACAACCTGATAGGAAATACTTGAGTTCGCAAATAACCCTAAGGTAATACTTGAGTTCGCAAGCAACCCTAACCCAAATCGGTGATCAAACAGCGAGAATACTGTTGTCTACAGCAGGAAAAGAAATCTGCTGTTTACAGCAGGGTAACAACACAATCCAGGGAAATCTGAGAGAAAAACTCAAGTAGAGACTTATATTCCACTAGAAGATGAAGTAAAATAGCAAAGATACAATTGTTCTTCAATTCGAGAGGAAGAACAACTCTCCAAATCTCCAGCAACGCCAAGAGCCCAAAGCAAAAGAACCCTAGGTCTCAAATTACAATTCAAATTCAAGATAATCCTAAGTCCCCTTATTCCCCTAATTAACATGAAAGGAGAATTACAACTTACCTAATCAGGCCTTACATTCAAATCTTTCCCCCCAAAAATTGCATTAAGCCCATCATGGAACCCACAGGAGTTCCGCCCCCCTCTCTCTGTCTCTTCTTCCACCGAACAAAGACCTGGACCGGTCCAACCGGCCCCTCCTGGGCCGGCGTGGGAGCAGGCGTAACACAACCCTAACTGCCACCATTACGCATCCATAAATCAACCCAGATTCCAAAACACTCCTACAATGCTTAGTTATATGTCAGCCTCTTCCTTTTGCACCAAAATCTTATGTTTCTCCTAATCAGGTTTTGACCCTCTCCTTGAACCCAACTACCTCCCCGTCTTCCCTCAAAATCCCACAAACAACCACTAGACCATCCCCACCCAAGCCGACATCAACTCACAAGTTTCTCAAAGAATTCCTCCCTCAAGCCCACTCTCCACTAACCCATAAACCATGTTATCCCCAGCCCTAATCCACTTCCAAACCCTTCCAAAACCTCTCCCACATCCACCTTATAGCACCACAAGAGAGTGTGGCTTCTTGTCTAGATCCCCTCTCCATTAAGTCCCGTCAATGTATATGGGACCACGAATGCTAAATTTCTAAATTGTCTCTGACTAATTTATATTAAGAGTTGCTGCAACCAAATAAATCTACAATATAGTCATCATCTAAGAATCTATGCCATGTTTATGTAGAAAAATAGTATTGCATCTGCCAACAAAAAAACATGTAAAAGCTAATTATCAAAATCATTTCCTTGGAATATAAAATTTTTGAAAAAAGTTTATGTTTTTTAACACAACTTTTCACTTTTACATCTAATATAAAATTCTTAGTGCTTTCAGACAAATCATGAAAATTTTCATCTATGAACTGTTTTCCATGCCAAAAGCATGCATTATTCCACAACGTTTGTTGCCAAATTCATCCTAAACACGTAATGTCAAAAACTGCACAAACATCAACTTTTAAAAGCCCTAAATTTGATGTTAAAATCATCTAAGGTTGTTAATTCAAAACTCATATTCTGAGTTTAAGACCTATATGTATTGGGAGCTTTCATGAAACAAATGTTGATTTTCAGTGCCAAATTCCATAACCAAATTACATGGTTCTGCCACTAGGATGCAGTAAATGATGCAAGGACCAAACACTACAGCAACCACAATTTTAAGCTAATAAAACTCATGATCAGGCACTGTTTTGAAATGGGGAACCCTATAAAAATCCAGAAAGAAATATGAATAGACAGTTTAACTAAAATGAAATTTGAGCTGGTGGCATCTATAATAGAAATACTATGATTAAAATTTTGAGTTAAAGACGTAGGAAAAGTATGGATTATTTGTCATGTCAACAATTTAGTTGAATTAGTATTATATTTCATTTTTTAGTAGTATTTATTTAATTCTCATAGGCTATGGATATTTTTTTGGTTTATTGTTAAGTTTAATTATCGTAATCATAGGATCTCTTATTATAATAAGAGGTTCTAGGATTATGTAATAGGCAGATTATGGTTATTCAATAAAAATTACTCTTTGCTGATTGCGGCTTCCTCCCCGATTTGTGTAACCAAGTTGCTCGCAGTTGTGTGAGACTGTGAGTTACTCGTCCTTTCCCCTCCTTCCTTCAAAGCTTGCATAGCTCTTCTATTGCAACTCTACATATATTGACATTAGATCCAAAAATCATTCTAGGAATCATTATCAATGATTAGTTTTATGATGAAAGATCGGATTCAAGAAACATATTCAACTCTCAATAGAATGTGTGCTTCTACCTCTTCATTTTTCAATTGTTAGCCACCAAAATGGAAGTATTATCTCCACAAGTCCCTCCATACTTCTGCCCCTAATATTTTCCGACGTAATTCTCACATTAGACAATCCTCTCTTTCACATTTGATTGTCTAATATCCATAAAATCTTCCTAAAATCTAGAATTACTTAAAATTTACACATGAATCTAAATTGAAGCAAAATTAAACAATTATTCTATTCCTAAAAAATAAGATTTTCTGACTAACTTATATTCAAATTCCTAAACTCTAATATCCAACATAACTTGCCTCCAACATTCTCTTTAATTTTTTTGCCGCACAAATTTATGAAAAAACACCTCCTAAAATTGGATCCCATCCCCGTCTATCTACTTGATCCACATTCCTGTTAACCTCCATATAATATCCAAAAGGAAATGAAACGAATGCATACCTACTGTAACCCATCAGATCCATGAATCCAGCATGAAATCCCGCGATAGCTCTACAAACGGCGCCGAACTAGTCCGGATATCCCGCGAGAGCACCTCGATTCTGTCGTTTGTTTCGTCGTTAAAAGGGAACCCAAAGAAAGCTTTCGGTGCTGCTCTCCCCGACTCTCACACGATCGCAGAGCTCCCGATTCTCCCTTCCCATTCGCTACTTCTCCTTCCCAACTCCCGACCTACAGCGCCTGTAGCCCGAACCGACTGCCTTAAAGGACTCCGCCTCTTTGACGACGTCCCTGTTCTGTCGGATCGGGAGATATGCCATTTTGATCGGAAGCAACAAGCTCGCTGGCTTTAAAGGTGGCTCTCCCTCACGTGCGCTTCTTCGGCCAAATCTCTTAAACAGGGAGTTCAAGAGAGTTAAACTCTCTGTTTAATAAGATTAGGCTTAATCTTATTTTGATTTATAATTAAGTTAAATTAATTATAATTAGTTTATCAGAAATTATAAATTAAAATGATTTATTTATAATTAATTTAAATTAATATAATTAATTGTATATTAAAATATAATTAATTATAATTAGTTTTTGATTAATCATAAATTAAATCAAATTAAGTTATGATTAATTTTAAATTAAAAATAATTAATTATAGACAAAATATAATTAATTCGACACTTGCGACGAAGCGGGTAATCACCTAAAATCCCTTCTTCGAAGTTCGTAGCGCACCGAAAAACCACATATACCCGCTTTTTTTACCATGGTGGGATGAGAACCCGGTGCGATGCGTACGACGAAGCGAGGATACCCATAAGTACCCGCTTGCGGGGAAATAACTGTTTTCTTGCAAAATGTACTAAATACCCATACACATTTTTCTTAGCGTGGTGGGGGATCAAAAAATACACGGTCGCGGTGTCCTCGAAAGAGGGCACCTACCATACACGCTTTTCTTAGCGTGGTGGAAAAGGCCCAGTTTTTCGTAGTTTTCCCCTAAACGGGGGAGACGCCGGGAGGCTGCTGAGATTTCAGGTGAATGTGAGACTTGACTCGGACCTGATTTGGACTCAATTGAACGGTGGACATGTGAGATTGGACTTGAACAAAATGGACTTAAATAAACTTGAATCCAAATAAAAAAAAATGTGCAAATAATAAAGAACTTGAACTTGCAAGGACAGCAGAGGACTCGAATAAAGGGAAGAGGCTCTTCTTAAGCCTAAACTGCATTTGGACTAGAACTCTGACATTAAACTTAAACAGAGAAATGGACTTGTATTTGGACATAAAGCAAATGATCAACAAATAATTGAATCTAAATGAAATAAGTTCATACTTGAACTTGATTGGAATGCCAAGTGAACTTTGACATTGAACTCAAATTTGTGAATAAAGAACTTGATTCAAATTTGACTTGAGTAATTGAACTCAAGTAAGGACTTAAAGCACATATATAGAACAGAACTTGAATCATTTGCAAGAGAACTTGGTTTGAACCAAGTGAAGGGGACATAGAAATTGAACTCAAATCAGAACTTGAACTTGGAATGAACTTGAATTCTAAGCCAGATTCAAACCAATTCTCAAAATCAGGGTTCAAATCATTCAAATGAACACCAAATGATTAGATGGCTAGTATTGAATAAAAAACCTGGAACACCACTTGCTACCATATGAGGTCTCTAATGAATGGTACGATTTATTCATATGGAATATACTATAGTTCAAATACGGCTACTAGCTAACAATAGCAATGTCTTATGATCAAAAAACACAATCTTTGCAAAGGTTAAGAAGTGATTATCCCAAATGGAAGGGAAATATTAATGGCCAACAATATCACATTCAACATACATGTTGCAACTCATCTTGTTAGAATATCCTCACTTCTAAATGAAAAAGGATTGTGAAAGATATAAGGTGATCACAAAACTATGGCATAGACTAGAATTGAATTAGATGAGCAATCAACGAAGGGATGAATTTGAATGATCTCTAATGAAGGCTAAGAGATGACTACATCAAAATGCAAATCTCTACGGGCTATTGTAGAAGACTTTTCAAGCATTCCAAAAATACCCCCGCACGTGCACCGTAGTTTGTATACACATAGGTACACTAAAAGGGGTAAAAGCAATCATAAATCCAGCATGGGCCCCAGCGAGCATGTTATTGGTACACACATGACGTCTAAGGATGCTGCGCGGGTTATCAAATTTGAACCCGATCCTCCTAAGAAAGTAAAAGGGAGTCAACAGGGTATAATTATAAGATGCCCCCAAAGACCTGCATGGGCCCCGGCGAGCGTGTTAATGGTACACACATGACGTCTAGGGATGCTGCGCGGGTCAATAAGTGAATTCAAGTTCGAACCCGATCCTTCTATACGGATCAATAGGAGTTGACAGAGTTCGAACCATTAAGCAAATATAAGGTTATGGCGACCGGTATATTTGTTTTAATACATTCATATTAGGCCTTCAAGGCCTATAACAATATGAATTCACTAATAAAGGCACAAAATTCCAAATAATTAGATCCGATCCTCTATCGATAATTCGATAGAGTTGACAAGATTCAATCAACATAGAGAAATGACGATCACCCCGATGATGATCGTGTTGAATGTTTATCTCAATCGGAGGGGTTCACAGATATTTTCAAGCTCCACCCAAATATTCCAAACATCCAAAACTTCACAAAGTCTAAATACCCATAAAAGTCCAAAATTCCACAAATCCCAAAATCCAAATATTTAAAATTAAAATCCAACCACCCAAACACTTAAAGCAAAATCCATCCACCCTCCACAATAATTTGTCGAGGTGGATAAATTAAAATTTACTTCATCTCACAAAAGAGCTAAATGCTTAGTTGAAAATATCACTAGGATCCATTCTCAAACAATCTCCTACCAATAAGGACGTGGTACGTGTCCTCTAACCGGCGGTCTGCCGCCAAATGGCACCGCAGGATAAACGGTTATGACCTGGGGCCCTCTGAACCGAGTGGTTTTGCCGCCAAATGGCACCACGAAATACCGGTTATGGCCAGCACCAATACGCTCCTTAATGGCATCAAATCCTTGAGATATAAATCAATAGGAAATGATCGATAGGGCAAAAAGCCCTCTGTTAGCTAAGGTGGATTCAAATTTGTCCCCTTAGGTAAATATCCAACCGAGGTAAACAAGATACCCTTGGACGAAACAACCCATGGCTGCTGACAAGGATCCTTCTGTCAGGTTGGGTCGACTACCTCCTCTGACTAAGTAGACCAAGGACCACGATGGCCCGGGATGACGGAACCATGGGATCTTGATCGGGTCCATCATCTATTCCCCCACCATTCGCTTTAAGTGCAAGATTGTGCAATTTCTGTTTTAAATATCAATTCTTCAAACTATCAAACCTTTTTTCCAAATTCCCAAATTCAAATCCAACTCCCAAATTTCCTAAGCCCATGCTGCTACTATATGCCAGATAACGCGTATCTCTACGTATCTGATTGATGACTAGCCTTAATCAAAAGTTCTCTCTCATTATTGGGAGGGGTAATTAACTATAAGAGCTTGCGCCTATAGGAAACCAGAACTCAGATCATAAATCCCTCGCAAAATGAGGGTGAAATGTCTGGGTAGTGTCTTATCTACAAACCCATCTGCCTTCCAAAATTTACCTCGGAACTTATTCAGTTAAAACTCTCTCGCCGAAGAATAAAAAGAAAAGCGGGGAGGCCGGGGCCGAATTTTCGGAGCCCACAATTCCCTCTCTCTATAAGAAAATAATAGGCCACCCTTTCATTCTCTTTTTATCGACATCTCACTCTAAATAAAAAAAAAAATTTTGAGAAGCCTTCTCTACCCTACCCCTACCCCTTGAGAAACAATGTATGAAACGACAAGCCTCTTTAATGAATTAATGAATTTATTCACGTACCCATGAATTGATGAGAAGAGCCCACATATTCATCTACATGTTTGAGTGAGCCTACACAATCAGATTTTATTTGAACAAGCGTGCTTTAGACTAATAATATTTAACTAAAGAATGCATTATTGTATGATCTATAACAACGACAAGCCTCTTTCCCACTCCTGTATGATTGGAAAAAATAAAACATAGCATTTAGTGCATGTATTTCTAAAAATATATTACTGAAAAAAAAAATCACCTTAGAGCGTCTGTCTTTTGGACCGAAAGGCTTGGTGAGGTTGTATGGAGGCCGTTGGTTGCCTCGTAGAACACCATTCTGTATAGCTGACAAGGAGTAGGAGTACCCACCTATAACATACTTGAAATCTCCCAAAAACTTTCTCCTATCCAAGGGTCCAACAGGGAAACCGTATGTCAATATGGCATGGATAACCATCATGTTATATAGGTTTATGAAAAAGGCAAGTTTTTCTTCCCTTGATAGGCAGTCCAAATCCACTCTTTCAAGCTCCTCTATTATTCTTAAGTACCTACAAAAAAAATCTCAACAAATCAAACAATATTTCTATTTAATTTTGCAAAAATCATGCTCTTGACCAACATCATAAATTCGCCAATGCCTTTTCAAAGTGTAGCATACAAGCAACTGACAGGTCCAGTATATGGTAGGGCCAACACTTATAGGTCATCCCCCAAAGAAAAGAAAATAAAAGAAATAAAACAAATATCAAAGAAAAGAAAATAATGTATTTGGTTGTTATAGATAGCTCTTGTCAACTTCCTGAAAAAAAAAAATTAAAAAGAACAGTTCAAACCATCAAAATTAAGCTTTCTTTAACTAAATTCCTCTAATTAATCACAACTCAGAGAAAAAGGAAAGAAGAAACTTACTATAGAATCAAGTTCATCATATGGAAATTTAAATGCACAATGTGAACTTCAAAAAAAACAATAAAATGCATGATATATGGATAATTAAATGATATAGCCAACTAAACAAGAGCTTTGTGGGAAGAATTGAATGATGACCGATTAAACAAAATGTTTATCAGATGATATGAAATATATGGGGCTTGAACCTGCTTATGAAATCCCAAACCATATTACCTGAAAGGAATTTCTAGATATCAAAAGAATAACATATTTCCAGAAAAAAAAAAAATCACGATGAAGCTTATCAAAAGCATTAATAAGGCTAGTTGATGGGTTTCCGCTGAAATTATGAGGCTGAAAGACAAGGAAAATCTGCAGAGATAATAAGGCTAGTTCATATTAGTTATATGACTACTGAGCAAAATGGATAATTTACCGATGATTTGACAAAGGTTATAGACAAATTATTGAAAATGAAAATACCATAGTCAACAAATATCAAGTTACAAGCACACATTCTTCTATTCACTAAATTCTTGCTAATATATGGTAAAATTGAGCCCACCTTTTGAACTCCTCAGAATGATAAATGCTTTCGTAGTCAACATGATTTCCATCTTCAGATACGTAAGCTTCATATATACCATAGGACAACAATCTCAAGCTTGATGCAATTTCAATGATAGGCTTAGGTTGAACATCAATTCTGTCCCTTGAGACATTGTAGCATTGAGTTATTATGGTGGGGTCATCTTCCAAAAAACGATACAAGTGGCCACTATCTTCAAAGATATTGTCGCTGTATAAGTCAAAGGAAAATAATGAAATGAAAAAACAGCTAAAACGATCAAGAAAATATGTAGCCTCAACTCCACTCCACAATATAAAGGATTGAGGATATTATTCTTCAAAAAACATACTCAAGTACATGTCTGAAGAAGTGCTGGCTGAGCATCTTTCTTCCCAATTCAACTGCCTACATGAAGAGGAGAAAAAAAAAAAATTTGGAAAGGATCGAATAACAAGAAAGTAACATAGCAAATAAATTTAAACTTCACATCCAAGAACACGATGCATCCTCAGCTCATCAGAAATAAATATACTATTTGAAATAAAAAAAATAGGTAACATTCTGGACGAGAAAACCAAAAGAGAAATATATTCAACAGTATAGATTCAAAGAAAGGATATCCATGCATCATCATCATTAGTTCAATCCCAATTATTTGAATGATTGGCTTTATATTTCTTCATCATCTATTCCTTCATAGCGATTGTTTACAACAACAAAAGCAGCAACAAGCCTTTATCCCAATACGTGGGGTCAGATAGATGAATCCTTTTTCTCCATTGTGTCCGATTAAGAGTCAAATTCTCATTTAGATCTAATAAAGAAGAGTCATTACTAATATTTTCTAACCAAGACTTTTTAGGTCTACCTCTACCTTTCTTAACATAGGTTAAATCTAATACATCTACTCTCCTAATTGGGTCATCGGAAGGCCGCCGTTTTATGTGATCAAATCATCTAAGACGACTCTCTCTAATCTTATCTGCCACTAGAGCTACTCCAACCTTTTCATGTATATGCTCATTTTGTATCCTATCTCTAAGAGTAAAGCCACTCATCCACCTAATCAACCTCATCTCTACAACACTTAAGTTAATATTATGCTTCCCTTTTGATGGTCAACATTCTGCACCATAAAGCATTGCAAGTCTAACCAGCAACTTATAAAATTTTTCCTTAAGTTTAAGTGGTACTTTTCTATCACACAACAAGCTCGATGCATTCCTCCACTTCATGCATCCAACTTGAATTCTATTAATAATATTCCCATCTATTTCACCATCACTCTGAACAATAGACCCAAGATATCTAAAACGTGTACTTTTATTAATGACTTGATCGCTCAAAGTCACAAACCCCCCATTAGATCTATTACTACTAAAATTATACCTCATAGCGATTGTTTTTTAAGCACCAAAATATTCCCTTGGATGCAAATATAATACAAAATCAAAGTGAAGAATGGCTCAAAAATGCAAAAGAACAAGCTAATGACAATAATTCAAACATTATAGTGTACCACCGATGAGGAAGGAAGAAGATAGCATCAAAAGACAACCTCTATGCTGTACAAAATCAAAGGACCCAATAACTGTCGGAATACAAGAGCCAGACTAGAAACCAATCTAAGGACTAAACAAACACAATTTAAAAAAAAAAAAATAACTGAACCCATACCAGTCGGTCTTTTATAGTAACTGGGTTTATTATAATTATTTACACAACCGACCCCTTTAAACCGCATGTATAAACCTATAAATAACTCCCATTTGTCATAATTTTGGTAGAGAAAAATAATAATTACGTTTCTTCTCTTCTCACGTCTCGTATCTTTTCCCCACCTTCTTAAGGAGTTCACACCTACTCAAAAGGTGCCATAACCTTCTTGATTCTAGGGGTGTCAAAAATTGACACGACACGAAAACTCAACTCGAAACCAACCCTAATTTTTCGGGTTAGGGTCAACCCATTTTGAAAGCAGGCCGGGATCGGGCCTCCAATTCCAACATGTTTGAAATTCCGAGTTAGGTTCGGATCAACCTGAAAATACGATTTTAACCCGAATTAACGCAGGGCACCAAGCGGTGAGATCATGTGAGCGGCGAGCCATCTGATTTAGGTTTATGGTATATGCTCTATACATTTCTACGCATATCAGTCGTTGGCCTGCTATTCATTTCTATGCATATTGTCTCTCATCTGTCAACTCTCCCCTCTCCTCTCCTCTGTCTCTAGTCTCCTCCACCTCCATAGTACAGCTCAGAGCTTTTCTTGGTTTCGATTCCTCTTAAGTTTTATTTCATTTAGTTCGTTTCTTGTTGGCTGCTATATTCGTAAGTCATGACTAGCGGATAGTTTTTTTTTAGTTTTTTTATTTATGATTTTTTTTTTTTTCATTATTTGTTAGCTCTTGCTCTTTCGAATGATCTTGTCTAAGTTTGTGTTGGACCTCCCGTTTTTTTGTTTCATTTATCATCAGGGCATCATTTTTATCCCAATTATACTTTCAATTTTTTAGAGCTTTGTATTTTTTAGGGTTAATTAGTTCTTCTTTTAAAGGAATAAAGGAATGTATTCCTTGTCATTGTTGGCTACTTGGCTTGTTAGTTGGGTTGCCAGGTCATTTCGGGTTGACCCAAACCTGACCCTGTCGGGTCATTTCGGGTTGACCCATACTTGACCGGGTCATTTTGGGTTGACCCAAACCCAACCCGCCAACCTGTTTTGACACCCCTACTTGATTCAATCAAGAAGCATACCAAATTGTTGTTGTTGTTGTGTTTTATTCCTCTCACACCACCACAATTGGCAACTCCAGCACCCATGCAATGCCCTCCTTCTAGGTGACTCAATCCAACTTTCTAAACTTCTACCCTGCTGTCCACCAATCTACCCTACTGTCTGCCAATCTACCCTACTGTTTATGTGACTTTAGCAAGTGTTGCCAATCTACCCTACTGTCCCCCCAAGGTTTAAAATTACGTAAATAAGCCTCGAGGCATTTTTCGTTCATGAGGCGAGGCGTAAGCCTCACGAACAAAGAATTGGGTAAATAAGAATTTAAGTATTATAGCATGTAAAATAGTAATAGTCTATCATACAATTAAAACATCTAAATGAGAAGTGAAATTAGCGGAAAACAATAAAATATATGCAATATATGCCTCTCATAGCATAATTCAAAATACAAAATCACAAATTTTAGTCTATCAAAACTCTCAAAGTACAAATAAAAAAGAACATCTAAAATTCAATCATGTCCCATCACTAAATGAGTCTTCAAGGGAGTCATCTTCATCTCTAATTGTATCTATGAATGTCAAATCTTTATCATCTTCAATATTACCCACTTTTTTTCCCCTAACCATGTTTCCTAATACACAAATACAAAATCAAATAAAAAATCTCAAAAAACTTTAAACCCTAGATTTTCTATAACTTGAAAAATCATACCTTGAATCTTTGTCGCAGATATGTCGAGGGTCCAAGAGGGCACTGCCCCCTGGCGGGGTTCGACCTGCCCGGTCAAGTCGCAGGGCCAAGGGGCAGCACCCCTGCGGGGGATTTCCGCTTTATTGTAAGAGTTGTTTTAAAGCTTTCTCTAGCTTCTCGATGTCACTTGGTACCATTCGATACCCCTCGGTACTGAGCAGTATCGAGCATTAATACTGAGCATGGTACCGAGCATTGCGGAGAGGTACTGAGTGGTATTGAGTTTCGGTACCAAGTAATACCGAGCAATATCGAGTTCCGGTACCGAGCAGTACTGAGCAAATAGGTTTTTTTTTTAATTAGGAACTTAAGTGGGTGGGACCCGGCTCTATGAGGCGTGCGCCTCATCCATTATTGTGCAATTAGGCCTCTGAGACACGCCTCATGGATTCTGAGGCGTAAGTCTCACCTAGACTCAAAATTGCTTAAGCAATGAGGCAACTTGGGGGTTAAATTGCACAGAGACGCACTCTTATTGCGCAATTTTAAACTATGGTCCGCCCCATTGGCATCTTCAAGAATCAATTCCACCATCTCACAATGTTCCCAGCAGATGTTTTTAGGGACAAACAAGCCCTATCAGCAGACTTTGGGATCATATTCTTGAACCCAAGATGCCCTTCTTGGCTTCTCTCACACCCCTATTAAGCACAAATTCTCCTTTCAAGAAGAAGATTATGATTTCAACTGTGTGGATACCTTAATCAATGTCTCAAGATGAAGAAGACAGATTCGGCGGAAGCTTTATGTACCATGCAATCCAATTAAGACTCACAATTCTCTGAAATTGAGAAATCTCTACAAGCGGAAGTTCAATTTGCTTGCATCGGCATAACATTACAAAAATTCCAAGGATTCATGGACCCCGTCGACAAGCACCTCGACAACCTCTTGTTGGCACGTCCACCACTTTCTTTCCATCCGCCTCCCGATTTCCTCTCCTCGACACTCACCAGCCAAGCGTAACAATGATAAAGAAAACTCTACGATGGTTCCTAATACATACACTAAGAGCAAATCATGCTCTAATATCAAATGATGCAGGACTACAGTGCTTTTAAATGTATGCAACAAGAACTTGCATGACTTCTTGATAAAAACAATTATGATTAAAAGTATTAGCAATCAAAACGATAAAAGAAAACGTAAGAGGGGTAGCTACGCTTAGGCCAAGTCACATGTCAAACACTTGGATTATAAAAACAACTTAGAATTTCAACAACATGCGAATTAAGTAGTTTTCAACAAAAATCTTTAATCTAACAATAAGATAACAACATAGAAAGCACACTCAATCCCACGTTTATTAAGCTTAGGTAGAAGGCGAAGTACGATTCCTTGCGACTAGATCACCACCTACAAGATGAGCGGATTAGGAAAATTAAATGAAAAGGGGAAGAAGTTCACCCTTGGGGTTGTCCGAAAACAACTTGCCACTGGACGTTGGCAAGTTGCTCGTAGATGGCCTCCGCTAGTGTGAAGATGATATGGTCCACGTACTTTCAATAGAGTTATCAACTTCCGGGTTGAAGTCGAAGAAAGTAGAGTGGAGGATGTTGACATGCCCTTGTTCGTCGTAAGCAAAACCGTAGTCAAGCTCTGGATCGGTCATTCATTGGCTTTGAAAGAATGATGTGTAAACAAAGATCAATGTTGATTCCCTTGGAGACTCCACTAGGGAGAAAGAAGATTCACTCTAGATTTTAACGGGGGAAGGAGAGAAGGATGGCCAGCCACTGAATGAGGGAGAGGAATTGAAGTTTTGGTTCAGATTTTGTGGGGGAAAAGTATTTCAAACATCTCCTTAATTAATTCCTTGATTGAGAATAATTAAAGAAGATAAAGAGAGGGAGGGGCAACGGCAAGAGGGGGTTTGGGGATTTATTTCCAAAGCTAAATATAAGTTTTTGGAA